AAAGCTGTCTGCTAGCCAAAATTGGTAGACAGCAATTTACGTTAATGTTAAAGTCACAAATCTTGGTCATCAGAAAAAAAAACAAGAACAAAGCCTAACTCAACAACCAATCACAGCAGACTTAGCGTGGGCGGATCCGATTAGCAGATACATCAATGAACTGTCTAAGAAACGGCAACAAAGAGATGACAGAATAACCTTCAACAGGAAAACAACCAATCAGAAGACGTTACCTCTCTGCTACCCATAAAGAATAATAATGTACATAAAAATCTGTAAATATCTGTTGATTTCTCAACAAACGAGCAGTTGCCTGGCCCTTGTCTTCTGTCGTTACAGAATGACAGAAGAGTGGGAATAGTGATAAGCCAGGTGGAATATAAACTTAAAAATGGTGGGTCAAGAACACAATGTGAAAAGGAAAATAAACAGAGTAGGACTGGAAGTCTTTTATGATTAAGAAGAAGCAAAAGAATATACAACTTGGATAGGTTCTAGCTAACAGGGCTTATTTATTCCAACTCTTACTTTTCTATTTAATTTCACTTTGAATCTCCACAAGTGATGTGTGATTTCATATGATTTATAATTTCTGCTGTGCGTCGGTGGCATAGCGGTTGGGACGCTCGCCGACCATACACATGGTCTGGGGTTCGATCCCCGGCCGACGCACTCCTTTACCTCGCTAAGCCAGAAATAATCCTGGTAAAGAGGAAAGGCTGGGCATGAGGCTAGCAACCCCATCCTGTAAAATAAACACTGCTACAGAAACTTCAAGCCACTAGCTTTAAGCCCTATGTTCCACTGGGAACGTGAAGTAAAAAAAAATAATTTCTACTGATTACAATTCAGTGGTGTCTTTGTTAGTAAATATTTTGAAAACTGTGAAAATTTCTCTTCGACCAAATAAAATAGTGACGATGATGGCTTAGGTTTGAAAATGCTGTATCATGTGTGAAACACTCTTAACTGGTTAGGAAGCGCTACTGCTTGGTGTAAGTGGTCTCGAACTACCCATGCGATTGATTCTGTAATTGACCAATTTTTCTCGACTTCACTTCTACCCCCGCATCCATAGTTGAAAAATACTGTTTATTTTACTGATAGTCTCTAATGTATCCATGTTGGCTTCAACTGTTTGCTAGGACGAAGTCATAAGTTCGATTAGTTTCATTTTATTTGTCCATTAAATTACTTTTAAGACCTTCAAATTCATTAAAACAACCAATTGTATGAAATCTTTAAACTACTAGTCGTTACTATTTGACTAATGAAGATATTTTTACGAATCACTTAGTGTTTGTTAATGGACCGTCTCACACTGCTTTCTAATATCTGAACATTCACAAGGTATTACGCCTTCTCATTAATTTTATGCACCACTTGTGTCTGTTTGATGAGTTCTTCCCAATTTTACACTGAATAACGTCGTACTACATACTTTAGAGGCTGAGGGTGTTGACGTTCACAGATAGCACGAAGTATACTAACGCAAGATCTTATACCCACAACTTCTATAGTATTCATTATGCGTAGACCACAGACAAAGCGAAACACCAGAATTGATGGTCCAAATTACGAAGCATATTTCGGCACCAAATCGGAGTACCAGGTTAATTGCTTGACTAGCTAGAGATCGTGCACAAACGAACGAATTTTATATGACGGTATGCCAAATGGCGTGGATGCTTGACCGGAAGCCTTCAGCTAAACAGGTTGACTTAAATAGTGGGAGTCAGCAACCAATGTTGAGTGGTGAATGCTGTGGCTAATATTTTTTGGGGAATTACCAACCGTTTCAGTTTCATCAACTAAAAATGTTTATTGTGGTCATCAGTCAGTGTGCAATCAAAGAATTATAAGATGCAATAGGAAGATAATAACGTTCCGGTATCAGTAAATAGAAACTACGTCAAGCATAAAATATCTTGGAATAGTTCTGTCCTGTAACCTTTCTTGTTCATCGCATATCTTGTCAATTTCTAAGAAAATGTTTCTTTTAACCTACTGCATTAAGAAGTCAAGAAAATCAAATATCACTCAACATCTACTTCTAGAATTTGTAAACACTTGCATATTATCTGTGGTTATTTTTACTTTTCCCCATTAAGTCTTTCCTGGGTTACTCAGAAAAGACTATTTCATTATAGAGAAAATTTATTTTGATAAAGTCTGACGGTGTTATAAAGTGATAATTACTGATGACGTTTCGAGCACAATTTATTACTGCTCATAATCATATCAGGTTACTCATAATAATAATAATAATAATAATAATAATAGTAATAATAATAATAATTTCCTTTATTCCAGAAACAGTACTAGTGGTACAGTGTGGAATTTTCAGCACATATCTACAATATTTGCATCTAATTTTATCCATCGTTTAAAAGGAGTATTTTCAAAGAAAAAATAAATATAAAGACAACAACAGCAAAAAAACACAAAAAACAAAATAATTTTTAAAAAATGCGAAAGAATATCAAGAAGTTGAAAGGAAAATAAACAGCTAATAATAATAATATCTCAGTATTGGGTAGTGGAAGCTATGATGTGATTATGCATGGTGACAGTAAAGCTATAGTCATACAAGAAGTTATGAAATGATATTTAAGAATGTTTATCGCCAAGTTGATCAGTTAATTTGGTTAAAACAACTCTAAACAATCACAAAACAACATTTCAGGGTTGTTGTTTTGTATTTTATTGTCAGGTCTAATGGAGTGTTTGTAATGGTAGTGTGAGTAATCCTGCATAATACAAAATTTTAAGGTGGTGATAATGGCGTTCACAACCAATGATTGTCAGTTAATATTGCCGAAAAAAAATAAGAAAAAACAACCACAAAAACTAATAATTACATGATGGTTAATGAAAAGACAATTTTGTAATACTCATAGTGCTAATATAGTCGGAACCAGTCGATACACAAAAGAAGGAATACAGTAAAGTACAAAAGTAAGCCAATGTTAATAATTTAGGTAGCTAAGTATGTTTAAGAAGGAGTTCACTATAGAATACAAAATAAGAGAGAAATAACAGCTTTCTGACATCGTTTATATAATTCCATTATTTTAATAACCTTAGCTAAGGTTAGAATGATTGACCTCGTGAAGATAAATAATTTAGAAAAGAACTCAGCAGTCGCACTGCATGCACTAATACACAATAGGGGGGGGGGGACAGAGTTACGCTTCTAAAAAGTGATATAGTTAGGTGGAGAGAGAGGTTGATTACTGAATCGTTTTTCATCGAATCCACATTTAACACATGCAATAGGAATGACTCACCACCAATGTCATAGATATGGAAAATATTACTACCAATGAAATAAAGGGAGGAAAAATAATTGAATTATGTTAATGAAGTCTGCAAGTTGTATGAGTAACTTGATATGATTATGAGCAGTAATAAATTGTGCTCGAAATGTCATCAGTGAATATTACTGTACAACACTGAGATTTTGTCAAAATAAATTTTCTCCATAATGAAATTGTACTCTACCACAGTGAAAAAGTTCTGTTCTTAAATCAATGAGACTACTTCACATTGCGAAGGGTATTAAAGATTGTCAGAAGGGCAAGTGATGTGCCCCTAATTCAGCGGGCCCGTTACTATTTTAGTCGACGGACACCTTAACTCATTTGAGAAATGATCTGACTCACAACACCCTCTCTATTTGCAACCCTCCCCTTATATCTCGTCAGGTAAGAATAGAAGTCATTATAAAAACTATACGCTCGTACAACCAAGTACAAAAGCTTAACGATATCCTGATTGACCCGCGTTCCATGTGACAGAGGTAACGTTAAACATGAGACCTACACCTAACTATGTTATGAGCAAAACAACTGACTCTTTTACCTTCTCTTATTGTAATTTATAGTGAGGCTATTTCAACTATCTTACACTTTTAGTTATTAACGTTATTATTATTATTATTACTGTTTTACACTTTTGTACATTTTTGACTTTATTGTCACTGTTAATGCCATAAAGCTGCTATTTATAAGTGCTGGTTACGTATACCTTGTAATATTATTTTTTGTTTTTGCTGTTATCCAGTAAATTGGATGTAATACCGTAAAAAAATGCTGAGAATTCCACATTGTATCAAATGTACTGTCTTAGAATAAAGCTTATTATTATTATTCTTGTCACTATTACTATTAAACATGTCACATAATTTAATGGTTAGAAAAACTGCATGAAAGTAAAATGAACTTCAAGTTTTAGTTTGTAGGGATTTGATTAGTTGATTACAGGATTTCATCATGAGCTGATATCGGTTAGAGAACCAGTGGAAACTTGGGATTACTGGAAACTGTTTCGTCAGCCTAGTTTCGGACTCTTCAGTAGTACACACCCATCGGGGTTCGAACCCATGGCCTTCTGGTTACAAAGTAAGCTAGGTCGTATACCATTAAGCCACTGGGACCTGATCCAATGACTCCTGAATTCTAACTTTTGCCAAATCACGACATAGCGCAACCGCTAGCCAATGACTTCGGCGACTATTTGTCCTCACATCTGACCTGCTGTACCCTACTGGTTACGACTTCCCACCAGAACCCAGGTAACTATCTACCTGAATAGGGCCAGTCGCTAGTGAGCATCTCATTAACTAATAAAATTAATTTGCGGACAGTAAACTATTTAAAAGTGGTTTTGCTTCATCTAAACAATAAACCACTCACCACTGATTATATCTACAATGTTATAGATATTTTTATGTTGACTAAAATTTGTGTTTACGCTAGTATTCATTATGGTAGTGAGGGATAAGTTATTTACTTATTTTATTTTCATGAAGTGTTAATTTTGTCAGTAATGTAGTTCAAAATTGCAATGAATACGTGTGGTTTATACGATTTACTCCATGAATCAGAACCAGAATGGTGTGCTTTAGGTCTGTTATTATTTTTCCCTTAGATATCAAGTGAGGTACAAGGTTTTCACAACACATTTGCGTTTCATCCTGTTTTCTACACTCCCTTTAGGTGGCTCTGTGACTTACAAGTTGTCATCCCCTCTTCATACGATGGTTGGGATGTTACCCTAGGATCGCCAACTCGCCGTTCCCTATTCTGGTTCCACTGGAGAAATGACCTGGAGCGCGATGTCCCTCAACGGTCTTTTCGGCTTCTGTCCAATCTGTTTCCAATTCCTTCAGCATATTTGTTAGGCAATAAGTTGCTAGTTGTTCCGTTGCCTGTCAGGGTGCCTTTTTGCTGGTCGTTTCTAATCATCTGGTTTTCAGTTGCAGCAGCCTGTTGGGAATGCTTTAGATGACTCAAGCGCCAAGTTTGTGAACCACATAGAAGCACTGACTTTACATTAGCGTCGGAAATGTAAATCTTGTTCCATATGTCGACTGCAGCAGATTTCCACGCTCATTTCAGATTAACGAAGGTTTTTCTTATTTTTTCTGATCCTGACTTAGAAATCCTCATCCATTTCAAAGCAGAGAAATTGGTAATGTTGCACTAGGGACATAAAATATTATGAATTATTGCTATTTTTATTTAGGAAAGTCAGCGTCTTATTGTTACAGCATTCATTTATCTTTTCTTTACTTTTTTGTTACTACCTTCTACAGCATAATCTACTTTTCAACTATGATGTTGTTGTAGTAAGAAATAAATCAATGACCCACATATCAGTCCATTGCATATTTTAATGCAAAGTTTATTTACTTTCTTAGAGGATGATAAACCGTCTCTTAATATTGATCATCTCAGTGAATGTTTTTGATGTCTTACACCTATCTAAACTACACCTCATATTTGTTTGTTTAGTTCTGATGAAGTTAAAAAAGTTTGATGTGTTATCAGACTGATAAGAAATATACTCATAATTCTTGTGTTTATGAAAATGAATTATTTAAAAATGTAATTCAATTCTTAGTAATTCGCAGATTGAAAACATTTATTTCCCGATACGAATTTAAAACAAGCAATAAAGGTTAATAAAGCAGGATTTAATGAATTCATCAAATTTCGGTAGAACTCGTCAGCTGAATACTCTACATACACGGATATATAGACTTTTGAAATTACATTGGGAGATATAGGACTGATAAGTAAATAAACTACATTGAATTAGTCATGCTGAAAGACAGGTGCGAATGTTTTTCCAGGTCATGTTCAATTAGATAAGGGGAGAGAGAGTATGAGAGATCAAAATTAACATAAATTGCATTACGCTTCAATTACATCACTTAGATAAACAAGTAGACATTAGAGAATATAACAAGAATTGCAAACAGAGTAATATCAATAGTAATAGTTATAATAACAATAATAATAATAGTGTTGAAGTGAGTTAAGATAATCCTACTGATAAAGGATAGTTTTAAATGAATCGAGAATAATAATAATAATAAGAGGTAGAATTATAAATAAAACGTATTACCATGGTAGATTCAGAGTCACGACCATCTCCTTTTGTACACAGAGACCTGGTTTATAAAATCGAATTGCACAAGCCTCTGCAATTGCTAGCATCTTCTTGTTTCTTTGTCTGCTGACAATAACAGTGAATGACTTGATAGCGTCGATATCATGTCCGTAATCCACAAGATGCTTTGTTATTGAGGATTTTGGCACTTTGCACTCAGCTGTTTTCAACCATTTTGGCAAATGTTCCATCATACGAGTAGACAATCGCCTTTCCGTACGACCTATGTATTTGCTTCCACAAACACACTAAAATTGATATGCGCAGTTTGAAGTGTCGAGGATTGGCGACTGGTCTTTCTTAGATTGTTGAAGCACTCGCTTAGTGGTGTTAAGGAAAAAACGTTTTGCAGCATGATAAGTTCTCTTGATGGCTTTGTCGGGTCTTCGTTTGACTACTTCCTGTACATCATCTTCTTTGAACGGCAAATTGATATAGACAGGTTTCTTCGGAACTGTTTGGATTGTTTTGCAGGGGCTGTTTTCTTTAGAGTATTTATTAATGAATTTCTCAGGATATCCATTCTTAGATAAGATATCCTTCAGAGTTTTTATTTCATGCTCATTAAATCCTGCTTTATTAACCTTTACTGCTTGTTTTAAATTCGTAGATTGTAGTAAGAAAACGTCTATATCTTGAAATGAATTAAGAGAGGTTATCGTTAAATGAATGCCATTATGGGGAATCTTATGGCCATTATTTTTTTTAATTGAGATAGTTTAACTGACTAGTTTTAACTAGTTTAGCTACCTTTCTTTGAATGTGTCTTATCATTTTCAACATCATAAATCTATGAAATATTATTTCTGCTGTAATATGAAAGATGAAGTGACTGTTGGAAGGCGGTTTGAGTTGATGTCTTATTGAGTCTTTGGACATTCGCCGTCATACCTAAGTATCATTTAATTATCACCAATTAATTGTGCTCCAAATGTAATCTAGTAAACAATCCTGTTTTACTGTATGTATTTCACCAGACAGAATTATTCTATGATGCACCTGTACTCTAACACAGTCTCCAAATTCTATTCTTATTTACTAAAGTATCAGTTGGAGAATTGTTAGGGGTAGTAGAGTTCTGAACAACTATTTTATCTTGGTTTAAAAATCATCACTAATGATTATTGAAGGATCCGGCCAGGCTAGGTCGCCATTTTGCGCTTCACTTTTGTGCTGATAACACGCACATCCTCAGAGTCTGTAGTTCAGCCAAACTAGCCAGATAAGTCTTTGGCTGTTTTCAACTACTCAAAATTACTGGCATACAGCTTTCAACATCTGATGATGGCTGATGACGTTCACTGTTTAAGTCACCTGGTTACTTTGACGGTATACGGGTAAGCATCCACGCTATTTGGCACTTTCGTGTTACGTTCGGTTGTTGGGGCACACACTCTAGCTAGCTAAGCAGACATCACGGCTCTACATTCCTGATCTCGAAGTACATTTCTTATTTTGGACGATCTATGGCGTACTGAAGATGATTCCGATTACTATGCTAAAGTACATGCACGTTTTCACGTTCTAATATGTGCTAACGCTGTACACGGTCAACGACAAACACCGTTGTATTAAGAAGCACGACTGAAAACTTGAAAAGATGTATTGTTAACGAAACCTAATTTCAAAGGGCGCCAGGTGAACGAAAAAGTGCATAACCAAGTAAAGTATATGTATAACAAACGAGAAGCAATATTCAATAGTACAATGGCAAATATTCAACAATTATTATTATTGTTCCCTTGGGTTCCTAGTGGAACATAGGGCTTCAACTGCACGTCTCCACTTGCTTCTGTCTTCTGCTGTTCTTTTCACTTGCGTCCATGTTATTCCATACTGTTTCATCTCCTCCTCACACGATCTCCTCCATGTCACCCTTGGACGTCCCACTCGCCGCTTCCCTTTCGGGTTCCACTCGAGGGCTTGACGCGCGATGTCACTCAACGGCCTCCTCAGCGAGTGTCCAATCCATCTCCACTTCCTCCTGCATATTTGTTGGGCGATTGGTTCCTGTTTCGTTTGTTCCCATAGCTTCTTGTTTGTGATTCTTTCTGGCCATCTAATCTTCAGTATGGAGCGAAGACAGTTGTTGATAAAGGTCTGCAACCTGTTGAAAATATTCTTGGTGACCTGCCAAGTTTCTGATCCGTAAAGCAAAATTGACTTGACGTTTGTATTGAAAATCCGAATTTTGTTGTTGATGGTGAGTGACGAAGATTTCCAGATTGGTTTCAGGTTGATGAATGTGTTTCTCACCTTCCCGATTCTCGATTTGACATCCTCGTCCGTTCCTCCTGTGGTTGAGACAATGCTCCCCAGATAAGTGAAAGAAGTAACCTCTTTCAAATCCCTCCCGTTGATGGTGATTGGTGTTGGATGTTGCTGCTGCTGTTGTTGTTGGTTGGTAATTTTCATAACCTCCATCTTGTCTATGTTCACCTGGAGTCCTGTCTCTGGCTGCTTCTTCGACCAGTTTGTCGGTTTTCGCTTGTAAGTCTTCGATTTTGTGTGACATCAAACATAAATCATCTGCGAAATCCAGGTCTTCTAGGTTCTTCACGTCGGTCCAGGATATCCCTGTCTTCTCGTTTCCCACTGTCTGACGCATAATCCAGTCCACCACAATTAGGAATATCATTGGTGATAATAAGCACCCTTGTCTGACTCCTGTGTTTACTCCAAACGCTTCGCTGAGTTTTCCGTTGTGGATCACTTGACATGTGCCGTTGTCGTACAGTTGTTGAATAAGGTTGATGAATATTTGCGGTACGCCGTAGTACTCGAGTAGTTTCCAAATTACTTCGCGGTCAACGCTGTCGAAGGCCTTCTCAAAGTCTATGAAGTTGAGGTAGAGATTTGATTGCCATTCCATGCTTTGTTCGATGATAATGCGTAGAGTTGCAATTTGGTCAGAACATGATTTGCCTTTCCTGAATCCAGCTTGTTCTGGTCGGAGTTCTGTATCCAGCGCGTCCTTGATTCTCTCCAGGATGATGCGACTCAGGATTTTACTTGGCGTCGACAGGAGCATGATTCCTCGCCAGTTCTTGCAGAGTCCCAGGTCGCCCTTCTTTGGTAGTTTCACCAGGTAACCTTTCCTCCAGTCAGTAGGCGCCTTTCCCTCTTTCCAGATCTTTTGCAATAATGGGGTCAGCATATCTGCCGTCGTTTCTGGGTCCGCTTTCAGTGCTTCCGGGGGTATTCCATCTGGTCCAGCTGCTTTTCCAGCTTTCAGAAGCTTGATTGCATTCATGACTTCAGTTTTCGTTGGAGGATTGGTGTCAACTTGCAGTTGTGTACGTGCTGTTGTTGGTATTACTGGACGGGTTGTAGGTGGTGGTCGGTTCAAGAGTCCTTTGAAGTGGTCCGCCCATTGTTTAATCTGTCTTTCTTCTTTGGTAATTGGGTTCCCTTGGTTGTCTTTTATAGGTTTCACTTGTGTTGATCTCTTCCCGGATAGAGACTTGGTTATCTGATATAGTGTCCTCAGGTCCCTTTTGCCTGCTGCCTTCTCAGCTTCAGTAGCCAGGTTGTCGTAGAATTGTCTTTTGTCCTTCCTGGCACTCTTCTTCACTTTTTTGTCCAGTGCTGTGTAAGTTGAGTTCAGCGTCTCTTTCTCTTGTCCATCTTTGCATTGAATCATTTTCTCTTTCACCTTTCTCCTCTCCTCTATTAGTTTCCAAGTGTCTGTTGAGAGCCATTCCTTGTCTTGTTTCTTCTTTCTTCCTAAAACCGTTGAGCACGTTTCGTTAAAAATTACCTTCAGAGAGTTCCAATGATCTTCCACGGATGATTCCTCAGTGGTGCCACGTAGTGTTTCCTGCTTTGCTCTGACAGTTGCAGTGAAAATGTCCTGTGTGATTGTGTCCTTCAGTTTGTGAGTGTTGAACTTGCATTGTGGCCTATCCCCAGGTATCCTCGAGGCTTTCAGCTTCACCTTGAAAGTCCCTTGTACTAGATAGTGGTCTGAACCCACATCTGCTCCTCTCCTCGATCTTGTGTCCAGTAGGCTCCGTCTCCACTTCCTTGAGATTG